TGGGTCCGGTCATGGGGCCTGAACTCTGGGCCTGGGCACTGTCCCTCAGCTCTTCAGCTCAAGGCTAGTGCTCTACCACTTGAGCCACAGAGCCACTTCTGGCTTTTTTTCTTTTTGCTTATGTAGTGCTGGGGAATCGAACCCAGGGCCTCATGCATGCAAAGCATGCGCTCTATCACTGAGCCACCTTCCCAGCCCCTATATATCACTTCTATAAATAATAAATTTTATTTATTTATTTTGTCAGTCGTGGAGCCTGAACTCTGGGCCTGGGCACTGTCCCTCAGCTCTTTAGCTCAAGGCTAGTGCTCTATCACTTGAGACACAGCCCTACTTCTGGCTTTTTCTGCTTATGTGGTGCTGAGGAATTGAACCCAGGGCCTCATGCATGTGGGGCAAGCACTCTATCACTGAGCCACCTTCCCAGCCCCTAATAATAAATTTTACAAATTTAAGTGACTTAAACCTCAACTGCCTCTCTGAACCTGATGTTTCCCTAAGTTAAAAAATTGTTCATTATGCCTATTTGTAGTTTATTCCTTTTCCTTCTCCTTCTTTCATTTTCCTAAAGAACTTCCCTTTGAATATGATAATATCAGAGAGCAGAATATACAACTGCAAATATACTAGATATTGTGCTAAGGATTTTACATGTCTAATTTAAGCCTTATGGCAACATCAAGGGAGAAAATACCCTTATTTTACAGATGAGGAAATTGAAGCTTAGGTTAATTAATGTGTGTTTCTTTTTTTAGAAATATTTTATTTATTTATTTATTTTTGGGTCCGGTCGTGGGCCTGGGCGCTGTCCCTCAGCTCTTCTGTTCAAGGCTAGTGCTCTACCACTTGAGCCACAGCGCCACTTCCGGCTTTTTTCTTTTTGTTTATGTGGTGCTGAGGAATCAAACCCAGGGCCTCAGGCATGCAAAGCAAGCGCTCTACCACTGAGCCACCTTCCCAGCACCTAATTTGTGTTTCTTGTCACAATTAATAAAAACTGAACTAGAACTCAAACCGTTACTCTTAGCCATTTAGTCTTTTGCTACTAACATATATGCTGTCTTGCTAATCAAATGATCCTTATTATTACTTGATAGTCTATTTTTGTGAAAGTGATGAGGATCTTCAAAAATTATGCCAAACAACAATGGTTTACTGTTTCTAATGTTACTGGCATCATGGCATCATCTGTTGGTCAGCCAACTGCTGATTTTCCTTTCCAGAGATCCATATGCATTGGATTTTGCTGGAAGTAAGAAGACATATTGAGAGCCTTCCTTCTGTCAGATCAAGAAAAAAGTAGAATGGTTTCTACTTCACTGGATTGTGTTGTCTAAAACCTTATAAACATTTGGGCTGTTAAGAAAGCAGAACACTCTTTTTCTTTTCCCCATTGACATGTGGAAGATGCCCTCAGAAACTTGATTAAATGAGGTCTATGTGGGGGGTTAGTCTTTCAGTTGGGTTTTCAAGTATCTTAGTAATGAGTTTTCTTGGTAGCTGTAAAAACTGCCAGTCTGAGAATTATTGTTACTTGACTCTGGATTTGGTGCCTGATCTGTATGAGTTGTTTATTTACATCCTATGGGTGGGATGTTTTCAAGGTGAGCAGGTCTTTGGTTTTGGTCTACTTCAGGAGATGGTCTAGTTGTTTAATAAGAGTTTAAGTATATGTACATTTCCATATGCTGCTCAGCTAAGATTGGGTCTGGGAAAACTCAAGAACTCTTCCAGTGCTAAAGTGATGGGACAGTCATTAAATCCCAGTGTCCTGACCAGATTGTTGCTTGGGTAATTACATCCTTTTTTTCAGTTCCCCCTGCGGTGTTATTTGGGTATCAGATCTTCATAAATGGCCTCTCTGGCTGTTAACCAGCTGCCACTTTTACCCCCAAGTTGGCTTTGTTTTACGGGTGGGTAAATCAGTCCTTGCATATAGTTTGTGAAATGGTTAGGAAGCCTTTGGGATGAGGATGTAAGTTGGCAACTTAAAAATTTGTGCCTTATGGCAAAGAAGCTTTTATGTTGCCCAAAAGACACCTATCCCTATGGACTCAGTGGAGTAGGGCAAAGTGTGTTTTGTGTGGTATATACTTTCTTTCTGTTTTCTCATTCATGTATTATTTGTCAATACTGGGGTTTGAACTCAGGGCCTCTTGTTTGCTAGCAGGTGCTTGAGCCACACCTTCAGCCCATCACTTTTTAGAAACCAGTAAAAGAGAAAGATGGGCGGACATAAGTCTGAGCTAATTCAGTTTAGAAAAAAATACAGGTAGAATAGAACTAATGTTTGTGTGTATTTGTTTGCACATGTGCATGTCCACTTGACAAATAGCCATATGTGCTGAGAGATTTACTGGAAATGAATTAGTCAGCAGGCCAGGTGTCTTGGGGCTGGATTTTGGGAGCATCAACAGGGCCTTATAGAAAGTGTTAGACTTTCTTAATTAGGTAATGAGTTATCTTATATAGCCATACTCACCTTGACTTTACTATTATTCAACAGTCTGTGAATCCTTATATTGTGAAGCTGTCTATCGTGGATGATGAGGCTACACTCAATGTGAGTATATGGATTCTTGTTTATTCTCTAGTGCATGCAGTGGTCTTTGTTTATTTTTTATTTTTGATGGTATTCAGGTTTGACTTGAGGACTTGCCGCTTGCTAGGCTGGTACTCTACCAATTGATCCATGCCTCAATTCTACTTTTTGTTGATGAAGTTAATGAACTGCCTTGGCTATTTTTTTTTTTTTGTCAGTCGTAGGGCCTGAACTCTGGGCCTGGGCACTATCCCTCAGCTCTTCAGCTTAAGGCTAGCGCTCTACCACTTGAGCCGCAGTGCGACTTCTGGCTTTTCTGCTTGTGTGGGGTTGAGGAATCAAACCCAGGACCTCATGCATGCAAGGCAAATACTGTACCACTGAGCCATCTTCCCAGCCCCATAATTTTTTAGGGCCATTCATTTCCCTGCAAATGATATTATTCATTCTAATAGAGGAATAAAATCCCATTGTATGTATGTACCACATTTTCTTGATCATTTCATCTAATGTAGGGCATCTGGATGTTTTCATAATTTAGCTATCATGAAAAATTTATTTTTGTGGAACTAGCTCAATGATATTTATAGCCTAAGTTGGTGAAATTAAAGCATAAAAGGTCTTTCTTTTTCTTGCTCTCTCATACATACATGCATGTATGGCACACGTGTGCACACACATGCACACATACATTTTCTCTTTCTCTCTCTTGAAAGTTTTCAAAATCACATCTGTCCTTGAATATAAGGGTGAAGAAGATTGTCAGGAGACTGTCCGCCTCATTTCTGTTAATTTCCTTTATAAACAGTAACACAGTGCCTATTATGAGGAAAGTTCATTAATTAGAGATAGAGTCTCAACACTTTTCTACCTGACTTTGAACCATGATCTTCTAAGTTTTAGCCTCCTTGAATACCTAGGATTATAAGCATTAGGCACCAACATCTAGTTCTTTATCACTTTTATGATGCTTGTTTTGGAGATATATGAGTGCTCTTTGTTTGAATATTCTAGCTTACTCTTTTTGGAAGTGAAAATGATCCCAGTAAAATTATCAGTAATCTGGGCTGGTATTTTACCTCTTGCTACTCTATTTTAAAGCATATCTGGGAACATTTATAAGATAATTAGATAAGAAAATCTTTCCAAAGCTGGGTTCTAATGGCTTATGCCTGTAATCCTATTTACTCAGGAGGCTGAGATCTGAGGATCACAGTTTGAAGCCAGCGGAGGCAAGATAGTCTGTGAGAATTTTATTGCCAGTCAATCACCAGAAAGCCAAAAGCACTAGCCTTGAGCAAAACAGCTCAGGACAGTGCCTAGGCCCTGACAAACCCCTCAAAACAAAAAAAACTCCTTCCAAAGAAAAACATTGTTTGTTTTTCTACTTTGACAGTGCTTCTCAGACAGAACTTCTTGGGCACAAACCATACAGGTTTAATGTTCTTCTGGTTGACTTACAACATTGCCACTAATCCCCAAAGACAGCTTGCTTATTTCAGTTATGCTGTCTTTTCTCTTCCAGGGAATGGGGCTTGTGATTGCTCAAGCTTTGTCTGAATACAACAGGTAAGTCTACTATTCAAGAGGAGAAAAGTCTGATTTTCATTGAATTGGGTTGAGTAGGAAACTGGTTTGTTACAGTATGTAGATGAAGAAGTCAGAGAGACCTCTCCAAAAGAATATTCAGATGTATAGCTGACTGTATTTGCTTTAGCTCGGCCTGTTGTGTTAGGGATTTCTAATTCCAGGAGAGAAAATAGTACAAAGTTAGTAAAAATAGCATTTTCTGCTGGGCGCCTGTGGCTCACGCCTGTAATCCTAGCTACTTAGGAGGCTGAGATCGGAGGATTGCAGTTCAAAGCCAGCTCAGGAAAGAACGTTAATGAGACTCTTATTTCCAGTTAACCACCAGAAAACCAGAAGTGGCACTTGGGCTCAAGTGTAGAGCACTAGCCTTGAGCTGAAGAGCTTAAGAACAGCGCCCAGGCCCAGAGTTCAAGCACCACAACTGACCAAAATAAATAAATAAATGACTAAAATAGCATTTTCTACATAAAGAAGCTTTTGGAGCACCACTTTTATTTTTCTTTATTCTTTTTCCTCCCCATGGCCCTCCCCTGTCCTGCCATTTCCTCCCTACTTCTCTCCTCCCCTTCTCTTCCCTCCCCCCTTTTTGTGGTCCTAGGGATTGAACTCAGGGTCTTATGCATGCACTGTCACTGAGTTATACTCCAAAGCAAATGTTCATTTCACATTAGTAATCAAACTCAACTTTCCAGGCTTTGTTTGGTGGTGTGTGTTTGTGTGTGTGTTCATTTATGCCTGATTTTCTTCTTGCTGTCAATTTGGTATTCCATGACTAGAAACTAGAAATATCAGTGATGCTGCTAAAGCCCAGGTAGAAACTTTCTTGTTGCTTTGCAGACTTTCCGTACACACAGTTGGGTTTTGGGACTTCAAATATGTCCCATCTCTGCGAATATTTTAGCTTTCCAATTTTCCTCTTCTTCTGTCAGACACAAACAAAGTTTTCACTGTTATACACTTAAAGTAAATTCATTATGACACTTTTCAAGTAATATTCTGGGAAATAACTGCATAACCTTTGTGTTAGTTTCACATTTTGCAGCTTCCTTTCTAAGTCTTTCAGGCATTTTAGTGCATACTATCTCAAGAGCAGGTAGATATCTTTTAGCTTGAGAAGAGAATACCAGTGGCTGGATTGTTATGATGCTTTAGTTTTCTGGAGTCAGAATTTTAAGAGTTTCCTGCCCTGATTATCTAGAATGTTAGAGTCAAAGACATTCTTGATAAATAATCCAAAAGTTGAATTAATTTTAATTTGTTCAGGCAGTATAAAGACAAAGAAGAAGAACACCAGAGTGGTTTTTTCTCTGCTTTAACAAATATGGTAAGTCCTGCTTGTTTTTATTTTTCATGGTGAGAAATACAGGAGCTCTTTAGGGTAGGCAAATCTGAACTCAGGAGTTTTGTGGCATGATGAGTGAATAGAGGCTTCTTAGAACAGATTTCATTTGGAATCATATTTTCTAGCAAGTTCTAAAATTAGGTAAAATAGTGGCAGGGAAGCTTTGATTTCTCTGAGACTAAGTGTTTTTTTTCTTTTTTGTCAGTCATGGGGCTTAAACTCTGGGCCTGACCAAAAAAAAAAAAAAAAATGCAGGGGGGCCGGTGGCTCACGCCTGTGGCTCACGCCTGTAATCCTAGCTACTCAGGAGGCTGAGATCTGAGGATCAAAGTTCAAAGCCAGCCCAGGCAGGAAAGACCCTGAGACTCTTATCTCCAATAAACTACTCAGAAAACCAGAAATGATACTGTGGCTCAAGTGGTAGGGCGCTAGCTTTGAGCTGAAGAGCTGAGGGACAGCACCCAGGTCCAGAGTTCAAGCCCCATGACCGACAAAATAAATAAATAAATAATTTAAAAAAAAACACAAAAACTCTGGGCCTGAGTGCTGTCCCTCAGCTCTTCAGTTCAAGGCTAGTGCTCTATCACTTGAGCTGCAGCACCACTTCCAGTTTTCTGGTGATTTATTGCAGATAAGAGTTTCTCGGCTTTTCCTGCCCAGGCTGCCTTTGAACTGTGATCCTCAGATCTCAGCCTCCTGAATAGCTAGGATTACAGGCAAGAGCCACTGGCACCTGGCTAAGTTTTTTCTTAATTTGTATAGAAAATGTATAGCTAGGGATGGTGTCACCTATTTATAAACCCAGTACTTTATAGATTCAGGCAGGAGGACTGTGAGGTCAAGGCCAGCCTGAGTTACATAGTAAAACCCTATTTGAAAGAAAGAGAGAAAGAGAAAGAAGGGAAATACATATTAAGTCAGTCTTTTGCTTCTTAAAAAATCATCCTGTCAAGTGTGATGGCAAGTACTTGTAGTCCCAGCTACTTAATTGTCTAAGGAAAGAAGATCTATATAGCCGACATTTTTTTTTTTTTAGTCATGGGGCTTGAACTCTGGGCCTGGGCGCTGTCCCTCAGCTCTTCAGCTCAAGGCTAGTGCTCTACCACTTGAGCCACAGCGCCACTTCCGATTTTCTGGTGGTTAATTGGAGATAAGAATCTCTTGGACATTCCTGCTTGGGCTGGCTTTGAACTGTTATCCTCAGATCTCAGCCTCCTGAATAGCTAGGATTGCAGGAGTGAGCCACTGGTGCCTAGCATAGCCCACACTTTTGAGACCAGTTTGATCAACATAGCAACATCTCCATCTCAGGAAAGTTGGTGACTTTGCAGACTAACCTTGATTTTTTTTTTTTTTCCAGTCCTGGGGCATGAACTCAGGGCCTGAGCACTGTCTCTGAGCTTCTTTGTGCTCAACACTAGCATTCTACCAGTTGAGCCACAGTGCCACATCTGGCTTTTTCTGTTTATGTGGTGCTGAGGAATCAAACCCAGGGCTTCATGCATGCTAGGCAAGCACTCTATAGCTAAGCTACATTCTCAGTCCCTGACCCTGAGTTGTTGGACACAAAATCAGAGGGTTTGTGTCCAAGTGCTCTTTTGTAGTGTTCTTTGGCTTTGTGATTTCCTAGTAGCTGGTCCAGGGGTTGAATGGTTATATAGTAGATTTAAGCCATTTATGTAAAGGCTTAGGTTCTAAGCGGAGACAATATGAGGATTAGAAAAGATATTGGTCAAATTTGTAATATTCCAGAACAAGGTTTCTTAACTTTGACAGCATGGGCCAGATAATGTGGAACTAAATATTTTGGGGTTGGAAGATAGGTTAGCCTTAAACTCAAAATCATCTTGCTTCTGAGGCTTCCTGAGTGCTGGAATTACAAGTCTGTGACACTAGTCCTGGTGACACTATTTTTTTTTTTGCCAGTTCTGGGGCTTGAACTCAGGGAATGGGCACTGTCCCTGAGCTTCTTTTGTTCAAGGCTAGCACTCTACCACCTGAGCCACAGTGCCACTTCTGACTTTTTCTGTTTATGTGGTACTGAGGAATGGAACCCAGGGCTGAAAAGCTGAGGGACAGTGCCCAAGCCCAAGGTTCAAACCCCACAACTGACCAAAAAAAAAATAGGTGGAGGGCTGGGAAAAAAGTATAGGGATATCTTTTAGTTCCTTTAAGAAAAGATGATATGGTAAGGCTCTCATTATATAATGTATTACTTGCAAGGTTTTTAAGATCTTCAAAGTGGTCTGGTTTGGGTGTGTGTGTCCAGAGTTTCAGGTTCCTTCCTACTAGAAGCAGTTTCGTCTTTCACTGATTAAACTTTCAGATCCTCCTACATTAAGTCTGCAATTCCCCTTTTCTTCCACAGGTGGGCAGCATGTTCATAGCGGATGCCCATGAGAAAATTTCAGTACAGTAAGTAGCTGGCATTCTTGGAGAGTTGACTTGGACTTTAGTTTGGGCTTTTCTATTGGATATGAGAGTGGAGAACGTTACCTCTTGTTAATCTTTTACAAATTAAAACTTTCTTGTGCAATTTTTAAATTGTTTCTTTGGTTTTAAATAATACTGGACCTTTAGAAATTCAATTTAGTCTCATGTATTAATGGTCCCTAGAAGCTAAAAACTATTCCCAGCTATTTCAAATGAAATAAAAGATGACTGTGTATTTGAGCTAGTTAAAGTTTTGACCGGATGGGGATGGAAAAATGAGATGAGAGACGGTAATTGAAGAAGGTTAAGAATTGGTTCTAAAGAATTAGATTCCTTACCTATATGCTTTTGCATATACTGAAAGGAGAAGTAAAGAGAACATTAAAAACTCAAAAGTAGAAGATATAATAAAAAATTATGGGGAGAGTATACATTATTATGGCAAGTGCCTATCTGTAAGAATATATGTATGTTTGTGTGCATGTGTGCATGCGTATGTGCATATATATGTATACATATATATATAAATGTCTTACAGCTTGTTAGCAGGTTTATTTTTTGTACGTTTTTTTATTGTAAAAATACTGTACATGAGCAAGGTAAATGAATACATTTCCTATTGAGCATTGTTGCCGCCTCCTTTGCTTTTCCCCGACCATCCATATTCCCTCCTACCTCCATAACTCCCCCCCCCCCAGTTTATTTCTTACAATGAAAGATCAGAGAGAAAATGATTTGAAATGTATGCTACAAACCTCATGTTGTATCATACTTTCAGTATTTTATAAATAAACTTTTTTTTTTTTGTCAGTCGTGGGACTTGAACTCTGGGCCTGGGCGCTGTCCCTCAGCTCTTCAGCTCAAGGCGAGCGCTCTACCACTTGAGCTACAGCGCCACTTCTGGTTTTCTGGTGGTTTTATTGGAGATAGGAGTCTCAGTCTCTCCTGCCCGGGCTGGCTTTGATCCGCGATCGCAGTCTCCTGAGTAGCTAGGATTACAGGCATGAGCCACCAGCGCCTGGCTTATAAATAAACTTTTTGTTTTGGGACGCAAAAACAAAATAAAAACCTTAAAGGGAGATGATGAGGAAGACTTTTGGTAAAATCTTGTTTTTTTTGTTGTTGCTTTTGTTTTTTTGGCGGGTCCCAGGGCTTGAACTGTGGGTCTGAGGTGCTATCATTGAGCTTCTTTTGCTCAAGACTAGCATTCTACCACTTGAGCCATGGCACCACTGGCTTTTTCTGAGTAGTTTATTGGAGATAAGAGTCTCATAGACTTTCCTGCTTGGGCTGGCTTCGAACTGTGATCTTCAGATCTCAGCCTCTGAATATGTAGGTTTGCAGACATGAGCCACTAGCACCTGAGAAATCTATTTTTTCTGGTTATATATAATGTTTTAAATCCTTTTCTCTAAGAGGCATTCTAATTTCTTTTCTTTTTCCTTAGAACCAATGAGGCCATTCTTCTGGCACTTTATGAAGCTGTTCATTTAAATCGCAACTTCATCACAGTATTAGCTCAGGTTGGTTATGTTAACAATCTCCTTTTTCTCCCTTAAAACTTTTTTTTGGGGGGTGAAAGTTCTAGTGATTTAACCTAGGACCTTAAACATACTAAGCAAATTGAACTATATTCCATCCCTCTCCTTGAATTTCACACAGATTCATTATATTAAACAGCCTGCCTGGTTGTACCTGTTTAAATTCTGCTTTTTTCTTAATTCCTGATATTATTTACTATATGAACTTGTGCTGGAATATGAACTCAGGAAGGCCTTATTCCTTCCTGAACTCCATCTCTTAAGTTTGTTCTTTTTTTTTTTTTTGGTCTGTCATGGGGCTTGAACTCTGGGCTTGGGCGCTGTCCCTCAGCTCTTCAGCTCAAGGCAAGCGTTCTACCGCTTGAGCCACAGCACCACTTCCAATTTTCTGGTGGTTTATTGGAGATAAGGGTCTCATGGACTTTCCTGCCCATGCTGGCTTTGAACCATGATCCTCAGATCTTAGCCTCCCCAGTAGCTAGGATTACAGGCCTGAGCCACTGGCACCCGGCTACTTTGTTCTTTTTTTAAATCACCCTTTCTTCTTTCTTTTTTTTCTTTTTGGTCATGTGGCTTGAACTCTGGGCCTGGGTGCTATTCCTCAGCTCTTCAGCTCAAGGTGATCGCTCTACCATTTGAGCCACTTCTGGTTTTCGGAATGGCATCACCCTTTCTTCTTTCTAAACCCCTATAGACTCAGAAGTAGAGATAAAATGGGCTAAGCCACTCATGTTATCTTAAAATATCTAGAGAAGAAAAGTAAAAAAAATATCCTACCTAGTAGACATGGATAGTTATTAATGGACAGAAAGGTGTATAAGCAATGAGAGCAGGAAGATGTAGAATATAGAGTGCTGGGTCACATGCCTAAGGGATATCCTTAGTAGTTGGCACAGAAGGGGACTAAAATAGGCTGAGAACTCAAGTTCATGGAAGCTATCTTAAAAAATTGATAAAGTATTTTTATCTTAAAGCCAGACTACTTAAAATATGTATGTAGGTTTCTTTTAAGGGAAATTTTACTTTTGCTTTTTTTTCTTCAAAGGCCAGAATGGAATAGAATCCACTGATGAAGTCCTTAAAAAAATAAAAAAGGTCATGCTTTAAAAGCAGTATTCTGGTTTAGGTCTACTTTGGAGAACAGTTAACAGTTTCTTTTTTTTTTTGTATGTGTATGTATGTATATATGCCAGTATTGGGGCCTGGGTGCTCTCCCTGAGTTGCTGCTGCTTTTTTGTTTTCTTCAGTCTTGGGGTTTGAACTCTGGGCTTGGTTGCTGAATTCTTCAGCTCTACGCTAGCGCTCTACCACTTTGAGCCACACACCACTTCTGTTTTTCTGGTGGTTAATTCCAGTTAAGAGTCTCATGGACTTTCCTGCTCAGGCTGGCTTTGAATCGCACTCTTGAGATCTCAGCTTCCTGAGTAGCTAAGATTACAGGTGTGAGCCACCAGTACCTGGCTGTGTGAGCTTATTTTGCTCAAAACTAAGGCTTTACTACTTGAGCCACAGCACCACTTACAGGTTAATGGAGATAAGAGTCTCACAGACTATGCAGGGCACCAATAATCCTGTAATCCTAGCTACTCAGGAGGCTGAGATCTGAGGATCTGAGGATCTGAGGATCTGAGGATCATGATTCAAAGCCAGCCAGGGCAGGAAAGTCTGTGAGACTCTTATCTCCAGTAAACCACTAGAAAACCGGAAGTGGCACTGTGGCTCAACAGTAGAGCGCTCGCCTTGAGCTGAAGAGCGCAGGGACAGTGCCCAAGCCCAGAGTTCAAGCCCCAAAACTGACAAAAAAAAAAAA